TGTCTGTGGATAGTTAGTTGTTAGGTAAACTTTCTGTAGTGGGTAGTAAAGTCTAGTAGGAAGCCATCTTGCTGATTTTGTCTGCTCTTTATTTTAATTTCTAGATTAGTATCTGGAGAATGTGTTATCTCTTTTGGAGGAAATGACCTCTGCTTTCCTATTTTCACCTCTAAAACGCAGTAACACAACCAAGCCCTCTCCATCATCCATAATAACCAAAATATGGAATAATTTATTATCTGAAAGTAAGGTATATTATTGAGCAACAATAGTAAGGTTTTAAACACCAGAATGAGAAATTACAAAGAACATAATACTAATCAACACAAGAAAATATTTATAAATATCTAATATTCATTTAACATAGAATTTTAAATCAATGAGGAAGCACATGATACTATAGAAATAATGTGCAGAGATTAATATTAAACTTACTTTCAGATCAAAGTAAATTATCATTATTATTATTATTTTTTTTTTTTTTTGCAGTTTTTGGCTGGGGCTGAGTTTGAACCTGCCACCTCCGGCATATGGGGCTGGCACCTTACTCCTTTGAACCATAGGTGCCACTCCAAAGTAAATTATTAAGAATTAAAGATTTACAGGCAAAACACCAAAACATTACTGGGATAGAAGGAAATATAAGTCCTTTATTTTATGTCATGGAATGGAAAAGATCCATAAAAGTTTAGTATAAAATAAACTATAAATTGGAATATTTAATTACATAAAATTTTATAACTTACTTTTGGTCATAAGTGGGAAAAAAAATTCCATGTAGTAGAGGGCAGTGTGTCTAGTGTATCAAAAGGAAAATTTATAAAAGTATTGGGAGAGATGATTATAAATTTGGAGAAAATATTTATGAAGAAGAAATTATAAAATTAAAAACTATACATTTCACAATATTTAATAAAAAGTTCCATATAAAAATATGAAAGATGAGCTTAAAGAAATGAAGGAGTCATTTAGGGAGTTTCAAAACATAGTAGAGAGTATCAACAACATGAAACCACAGAAAAGAAAGAATTTCAAAGCTTGAAGATAAGATTCTGAAGCTTACTTATTTAAAGAGATAGAAAAGAAGAGGGCAAAAACAGAATAATCTCTTAGGGAATTGCATATGAAGCACACAAAAACAAATTATAGGTATCCCTGAAATAAGACAAGAATCCCAATGGCACGGAAGCTTTAGTTGATGCTATGGTAACTGAAAACCTCCCAAGCATTACCAAGATTCAGACATTCACTCACTAGATGGAAATTAAACCGTGGATTGACTGAATTCAAACAGAACATCTCCGACACACATACTAATTAACCTGGCCAAAGCCAAAATGAAAGATAAAATTCCAGAAACAACCAGGCATAAGCAGCATATGACCTACAAGGAAAAAACCATCAGGGTATCATCTGACTTCTCAGCTAAAATGTTACCAGCCAGAAGGGAATGAGCTCCCACCTTCAATCTTCTCAAACAAAGCAACAGCCAGCCTAAGATCCTGTGTCCTGCAAAATCAAGCTTTGTATTTGATGGAAAAATCAAATATTTACTCAAAAGCTAACATTGTGGAAAACTGCTACTACAAGAGTACAAGACTACAAGACCAGCTCTGCACAAAGTACTCATACAAGTACGTTATGCAGACCAACACAATGGACCACCACCAGCAAAATAAAGATACCCAGAAACTAAAGGACAAAGCCTAGCTTCCACAATGGCCTAAGTGAAAAAAAAAAAAAAAAAGCCACAGAATTCCACAAAAGTTAAACATAACTTCATTCTACAAATCAATTTTTTCAATAAATGTGAATGGCTTGAATTCCCCCACTGAAGCACAGGATGGCTAACAGAATAAAAAGGCACAAGCCAACTTTATGTTATCTTCATGAAACAAATCTACCATCTAAGGACAATACACGACTCAGGGTGAAGGGTTGGAAAACACTATTTCAGGCAAATGGAAAGAAGAAGAAAGGGGGGCTTACAATTTTATTTGCAGATTCAAGTAGATTTAAAGCAACAAAAGTAAAGAGAAAGATGGACACTGTACTGGTCAAGGTAACAATACAACAAGAAGACATTTTGAGGCTGTGGATGGTGGCTCATGCCTGTAATCCTAGCATTCTGGGAGGCCAAGGTAGGTGGATTGCTTGAGTTCAGGAATTCGAGGCCAACTTAAGCCAAGTGGGAGACCCCGACTTTACCAAAAATAGAAAAACTAGACAGGCATTGTGATGGGCACATGTAGTCCCAGTTTCTTGGGAAGCTGATGCAAGGGATCACTTGAGCCCAGGAGTTTGAGGTTTCTTTGAGCTATGATGTGCCACTACACTCTACACTGGGATGACAGAGTGAGACTGTCAGAAAAAAAATAAAATAAATAACTGTCAAAAAAAAAAAAAAAAGACGACATTTCAATCCTAGATATCTACTCACCCAAACTACATAGTCACATATTTATAAAACTAACCCTATTTGGTCTGAACAATGTATCTTATAACATCATAATAGCTGTGGACTTCAACGTCCCACTGACAGAACTGGGTAGCTCCTCCAAGCAGAAACTAAACAAAGAAACCATGGACTTAAATGCAACTCTAGAACAAATGGACTTAACAGATACATACAGAACTTTTCACCACAATATTACTGAGTAAACATTAAGTCAACAGCTATAAACAAGCTTCCAACAAAAAAATCCTAGACCAGACAGTTTCACACCAGAGTTCTACCAAATATTCAAAGAAGCGCTTGCACCTATATCACCTAACCTACTGCAAAACACCTAGAAGGATGGAATCTGCCCCCAACTCATGATATGAAAAGAAATATCAACCTGCTACCCAAACCAGAAAAGGACACACAAAAAAAGAAAACTATAGACTAATTTCATTAATGAATTTTGATGCAAAAATACTCAACAAAGTCTTAGTAAACACAATTCAGCTACACATAAAATTCACCATGATCAAGTGGGCTCCATCCCTGGAATGCAAGGTAGTTCCAAACATTCATATCCATAAACCTAACTCACCACATAAATAGAAGTAACACCAAAGACCATATGGTCCTCTCAATAGATGCAGAAAAAGTGTTTGATAAAATTCTATGTCCTTTTATGATAAGAACACTTAGGAAAATTGGCATAGATGGAACATTTCTTAAACTGATAGACGCCATCTATGACAAATGCACAGTCAATATCATATTGGGTGGAGAAACACTGAAATCACTCCTACTTATACCTGGAACCAGACAAGGATTCCCACTATAGCCATTACCATTCAACATAGTGCTGGAAGTCTTAACCAATGCAATCAGGCAAGAGAAGGATATCAAGGGTATTCAAATGGGGATGGGGTAGTCAAACTATCACTCTCTGCAGAAGGTATGATCTTATACTTAGAGAATCTGAAGGACTCAATCAACCATGAGACTTGATAACATGATCAAGAAATACAGCAACTTTGGTATTTACTTGGAAAGATTTGGAGAATATCCTCCTTAGTATCACAACAATGGAAAATCAAGCATCCGATGTACTCAATATTAATATGAAACTAATAGATGAACAACTTCATGCCCACATGAAAGGAAAACACATTTAAATTCAAGAAGGAGGAGTATGGTAAGCAATTACCTATTGGGTAAAATGTAGAGGTATATTGCACACTTCCCAGGTAAAGGGCTCAACTATAACTTGGACTTTACCTAACAAATGAAAACAGTATAACCTAAACATATTTACCCTTATATTAATCTGAAATTTTTAAAAAAGAAAGAAAGAAAAGATCATGTGAAGACAGAGGCAGAGACACAAGTTATGTTGTTACAAACCAAAAGACCACCAGCTACCATAAGCTAAAAGAGACAAGGAAGCATTCTTCTCCAGAGCCTTTGGAAAGAGCATGGCCCTGCTAGTATATTCACTTTGGATTTCTAACCTCAGGAACTGTGAGAAAATAAATCTGCAGGTTTTAAACCACTTAAGTTTATAGTACTTTATTATGGCAACTCTAGGAAACTAATACATCAATAAAGAAACACATGTACATACAACGCATTTTTCTGATAACAATCTTTAGCTTTCTTTACTAAATTAATATCTTATCCCAATGTTTGCAGTTGTTTCTGTAGTTATTATGTTTGGATAGCTTTTCATAGATTTGGAAGATCCTTACTATTGCTTTTAATAACAATTCGAAGCTGCCATCAGTTTCCCTTTTCTCTGCAGATCTCTTTATATCAAGGATATTAATCCTTTATCACTTATATATGTGGGCAATTTTTCCTCCAAGATTTTTATGTGTTCTTTAGTACTGTTTTTCCCCCAATTAGGTTGTTAGTAAATTTTAATGGATTCATATGGCTAAGAAAGTAATGTTTTCTGCATAAAAACACTTAACTAATGGACTAGGGACATAACATATCAATCCTCAGTCTTAACAGGATTGGAGAGCACTTTCTCCTTTGGAAGCTACAGGGCCTATAAGACAGCTATGGCCTAAGGGTGGGTACAGGATTTGAGTCTCCATGGTTTCCCAGGAGTTGTACACTTTTTGTATCCCTTTATTTTCCTGTAGAACAGAGATAGTAAGTAATGCTTCACTCAGAAGAACATTGCACGGATTTTATATAACAGACAGCAAATACTATCTTATGAAAATAAACAGGGATCCTGGGGTTGGGGGACAAATACACAGAACAACTGGCCCTTTGGGTGCATGAAAATCAGCTCTATGAGGCAGACTTTCACTTTTCAGCCCTGACAAGACCTCCTGATTCAGTCACAAGACTGAAAAAATATAGCAAATATAGAACAAAAATATAGCAAAAATGATGAGAATGCAGATGACACCCGAGGTTTTCTTCTCAGGCCTTTGTTCTCAGGATCTTGAGTCAGTCTGTACTGGCTTGAGACTGGGACTCCTCTGGAATCTTGCCCTTGGCCTAGAGGAAGCATAGGAGGGAGTTGGGAGATCAGCAGAGCCATGTTTCATCCCCAGGCCCAAAGGCCTCTGCTCACCTGGCCTGAATTCCCAGATACCACATTGGGCAATGCAAGGATTTCAGTAGCTCTGGTGTAGTCCCACTTGCTGTCATGAAGGTACCTGGGGTGGTAGGACAGGTGACATCCATTAGGACCCAACTGGAGACACTCAGAGAACACTACCATTTCCTAATCTATATGACAGAAACATGTCTCCATGTTTAACTGAGATTTATTGCAGCAAAATCAACTCTGTGGCACAATGTTGAAAACTCTGAAAAGCCAAATGTCTCCCAATAATGGGACAAGGTATATGGAATTCAGAAAAGTACACTAATCCTGTTTAAAACTTGATAGCTTACACAGAGAAGATGTTCAGTATGATAATGATACAAAAATATAAAACAAATTATCTTTAAGTTCCCTTTATTCATTTCCCTGCTCCTCCAAGCTCATACTGATCACTTCCCTCCTCCTCCAAGCTTATGCTGATCACTATGTGCACCCAATACTCACTTCTGAGACCACTTGAGATTCATCCCAAACTGGGTAGAGAAAGCCTCAACCATGTTCTCCTGCTCCTGGGAGAGGGCATGCACATAACCGGAGTAGGGTGTGGTCACTGGGATGGAGAAGGCACCCTGGATCTCTCGGAAACTGATGTCTCTCACAAACAGCTCATCGTTTATGATGCACAGACTAGAAGAAAAACGAGCCCTTAGATAGGTGAAGAAATGGACAACCCCTTAACCCCATCAATGATCATTCTGCTACTGCTCAGCACCCAAATTTCTTCTATATCCTCAAGTCCCACTTGCCAGATTCCTTGGCTTATACCTTCTACTCCTCCCAAACTTTTGGAGGAGCTTCACAAGATTTGTAGGTTTACCTATAATCCAGAGAATGTTTTACATTCACATTTGCCCTTCATAATAGTCCAAAAGAATGACAGTGTAATCACCATTTTCAGAGAAATGCAGAGTTACAAAGAGGTCATGGTCATATGACTTCAAAGTCACAGAGTATTGTCTGAAGAAAAAACCTGTATGATGACTGAAGAGCCCACCACTAGATTAGACTGTTGGTTTGTGACAACAGCCCTAGGACTGGACTATAAAATTTCCACACTGCTAGCCCCAGGCTAGGTACTCCCACATTGCACCCACAACACTGCACTTACCTGGTATTGCTCATAGGAACAGTGATGAAGATCCGAGAGAAGGCACGTACACAACCCAGGGACTTTCCCTCCACTTGAAGGACAAGAAACAATAATACTTGCTTAACATTGCACATACTTTATGTGCTCGTAAGGCATTCTCAAGCAGGGTCTTACTTGATACTTATGCTGAAGGAGGCAAAATTGGAAAAAGTGCTCACTCTGGAGTCACAATGGCTTGATGGGAATGGGAAGGGCTGTAAGGGAAAAATCCACTCCCAGTGACAGGGCCTTTTAGCATGTGTAAGGCGCTGTGCAAACCACTTCCTGAGTTCACATGATTCCTGTGTCACAGTAGCCCAAAAGAGGGTTGTTCTTAGTCCCACTCTACAAACGAGGCAACTGAAAGGTTAAGTGACTGCCCCTGGTTCACAGAATTAGGAGCCAGGATGAAAGCCATCAGGCTTCACAGCCAGTGTCCTTAACATCGGAGCAAAGCAGTAGGGCATACAGGCATGGACCTAGGTCACACAAGGATGGTTTGTTAGCAGAGTGAGGGGCAGAGAACGGAAGGAAGAATAGGAAGGAAAGGAAATCAGGGAATCTGGGAGAGTTTTGAGAGGAAGCCCAGCCAGGGCAAGGAGCAGTGCAGGACCTGGGAGGGGACTCTACAGACACTCACCTTCCTTAAACAATCCACTGACAGAAACGCAGAGCATCCTTTCCTGAAAGGGAAGAGCCCAGGTGCTCAGGATCCTCCTTCACCTCCCACCCACCTCTGGCCTTCTGGACCCTACATGATGGATGAAACAGGTGCTCACCGTCTGGAACCACATGTCCACCAGAAAGGAGGTGAGGTCATGCTGAGTTTTGGGCAACATTTTGAGGGTGTCCACAATGTCATATTTTGTGTGCTTCAGCAGCTGCCTCCTCAGGTCTGTGAAGGGAAGAGAAGCAAAGATCAGGGGCTGCCACACCCTGGCCCTGGGCCCCTATGGATGTCCCCTTCACACCCCCTTGCCCTGCCTAGTTTTCTCCATCACACACTCACAGGGGTCCTTGATCACTATCATGTTCCTGCTTTCCTTGAAGTACTTGCACAAGTTGCTCCTAGGAGAGAGAGAGGAACAAGGAGGAGGTGATGGTCCAGCCAGTGCAGGTTTATTCAGGAGCTGGCCTGTGTCTTCTGGGGAGCCAGACAGCCTGAGAAGAGTCTGAGCCAAGATACTCACGAAGTTGGGTCCTCATGGTTGAAGGGAATGGTCAGGGAGAAGGAGGCCATGGCATGATAAGCACCAAGGAGACCCTGTCGATCTCCATAGTCATAGATCAAGTAATACCTGAGGAGGGGCAAAGAGAACATGCTACCTCTGTGGTTTGGGCCCCAAATGAGACTTGAAAAGTCCCACTGAGTACTGCTTACATATCCTCACCTGTCCTATCCCTCTCCTTCCTCAAATTCCCAGGGTACTTACTGCTGCAGGAATTGCATGACCAGATTCTTCAATGTTTCAGATGCAAAGACGCTTCCCTGGAATAACAAATTTCAGAACCACAGCTAGCACTCCCTCCTCATACACCACTTAGCACCCTGCTTAATCTTCCCTCCTCACCTTGCTGAGTGGTAACATCTTGTGGGCTTCAGTACCACATGGATTTGGACTGGGTGACTCCTGGACATCCTGGGAAAAAGAGAAGCCAGCAGTGCAAATCAGGGAGGTGGCACTGGATGATCAAGGAAAAGCATGGGCCTAGGAGAGGGTGAGGATCAGAGATAAGGTGTAAAAGGGCCCTGGAAACTATATGGGAAGGATTACAGCTGGGGTCACCCCCACAGTGTCACTGAAGCCTGTGGAGAACTTGTGTGAAGAAGTTCCATAGCCTTTTACAGGTTCCCAAATGGGTCTGTATCACCTTTCCCTACCCCCTTGAAGTTTAAAGGTTATATCAAAAAACAAACAAACAAACAAACAAACAAAAACTCCAGCAAGACCTAAAGGAGTTCAGGACAGTTAGGGGAAGTGTCGGTGCTAATTAGAAGCCAGCATTCGATGAATTCACTTACTAGGCATAATAACTTGGGGAACAATTCCAAGATGGAGCTGCCAAAAATCAAAACAAAAAGACAACAGTAAGTGAAACTTTAGCCCTGCCTCATGTGAGCAAACACACTTACACCAGAGACACAACTCACTATGAACCACCTGCACTGCAGAGCCCTTGCTCCTGCAGGACTCTGGGAAGCACCCCTGCGGAGTGACCCAGAGGGAGATCCTTATCATCTTCCTCCAGCATCCCCCACCTGGACTGCCCTGACTTGCTTCTCCAGCACCACAACAAGCAACATTTGGAGCCCAGCTCCAGGGCTTCCTTGCCCTTCCTGCCTCCCTTATCTTCCTACAGGACCCCATGGAAGGCGCCACAGGGAGCAGTGAATTGGGCAGGAGCCCAGGGCTCTGCAAATGCACCAGGCACCCACTATTCTGGGGACCCTGGCCCTAGCCCTGGATAATACAAGGTCATCCCCTACGGATGGCCCAGGATGCCAGGGCAGGAAGGTGAGTGTGGCAGTGCTCAGAAGGCAAGGAGAGGAAGATAAGGAGGACAAGAAGAAAGGGCATGAAGGTCGGGGAGGGAAAGATGGGGGAGACAGAGGAGAACAGAGGCTACAAAGAGGAAACAAAGAAGAGGTAAGGCACTGATGCTTTCCCATGATAGTGGGTGTCAGGAAGGAAGAGAGAAGAGTAATCCCCTGTGGCTACCCTTTCTCGCACATGCCTCTGGCTGGCCCTAGGCACCAAGACAGGAATGGGAGCCATGCTCCTATTGGCTGGAGCCCATTGAAAGGAGGAAGGGCCTTTGGAACCAGGTGAGCCCAATCTGAGCTGGGTATGGGAAATGCAGCAGCCACAAGGGAAGGAGACCTTCCCATAGAAGTGAAGCATCAGGCCCCAGAACAGTATGGGCTTGAGGACCTGGCACCCTCTCTTAGAATCACTGGGTTCTCTCCTGATTGTCACTGCCCAGTTGTGCCTGTCTGAGCTGATACCTTGCCCCAGGAGTCATTCCCACTTCAATATACCCAGGGCTCTTCTGAAGACCAGGCAGGATGGTGTGAGGTGTTGGGGGGGAGGGGAAGTACCCTGAGAGGCCTGTCCTGCTGTCCCCTAAACCTCTTCTGCCTTCAGCATCTCACTCCTATCTCAGTAAGCCCTCACTGGCAGTGGCTCACTTCTGATCCCTTGACTTGGGAATGGAAGTTCCTCCCTGAGAAGGGCCTAGCTCTTGCCATTGTGCCAGAGAAACAGATGTCATCACAGCAGCCATCCAGGGCCTCAGCTCTCAGCATGGGGCAGGAAAGCCACCATACCAGTGTTGGACAGGAAGGAGGGCCTTTGTGGAGCAAGGGAAGGAGGACCCCCTCTCTGGAGAAGGCCCATGTCAATAGAGGCAGAAAGGCCTGGCTCCGCCTGGACCCTTCTCAGTTCAGGGCCCTAGCATCTGGCCCAAGTCTGGACAGCCCTAGTACTGGTGAGGAGGGGAGCCCTGCTTCCAGGCACACACTCAAGCAAAGTATGCTGCAGGAGGCTGGGCGCAGAGAGGTGGCAAACACACCCCCGAACAGGGGAATAAGCGAGCAGGTCAGGAAAGGAAAGGAGACCTCTAAGCCCAGCTGAGAGATACAGAGAGAGGAGAGGGCAGGGATGCCTCCTCCTGCAGAAGGGCACTATCGGGGCAGCTCAGTCTCCAGAGGGGTGACAGAGAGTACAACTGACTTTATGTTGCTGGACTTATCCGGAAAGGTGGTGCATGGGTCATTTCTGTCCACACATATCTCTTCTGGCTCCAGCCCTTTCTCCTTGTCCATCTCCTCTGCAGACTTCACCTGTAATTATTCAGAGTAATAACATGGATCAAGGAAAGAGAAGCAATAGGGCACTTTACCCCCAGTCCTCTCCCTTGCCAACAAACCCACTTCCCTGCCTCTTGTTACCACCCTGATGAGTCCTCTAACTTTCCCTCTAAAAAGCCATCTGAATATTAGACTTCACCTCATTCAGGGTGTTTATGTTGGAGGCTTCTGCCATAATGCCAGGCAGCTGATAGGGTTTGATACTGCTCATGTTCAAAGGCAAAAGCTGTGGTAAGGAAAGAATTAAGAGTAAAAGCCCCAATGGGAGATATCTTAGGCCAACGAGCCTTCTAACTAATCTCTTCCACCCTCGCCCTCAATTCTAGCACCTGGCTTAAAGCCTCACCTGGGACATTTTCTCTTCCTCAATGTGCAGGGATACAGCCATGCTCTTTCCCGGATTTGGTGCCATTCTGACATCATGTGTCCTCAAGTCTCCAGGAAGCAGAGAGAAGGGAATCATAAGGCTGAGAGGGGCCCAGCTAATACAGATCCAACACCAACTCCTCCCCAGATTATAGTCTCTTAAGTCTCCATCCCAAGAAAACCCTTAAGACCTCACCTGCTATAGAATTACTGTCCTCAGCCATACCTGTGTCAAAGCGGAGTTTCTGGATGTCAAGTGCTTCCTGGGAGGTATCATATTTGTTCATGGTCAGCTGCAGGGTTAGAGATAGGGATCAGCTGCTCTGCAGCTGAGATGATAAAGGGTTCAATAGGTGGGGAAAGAAGAGATAGGTCTGACTGTGGGTGGATAACTTGTCTTGAGTCTGCATTACTATTACCTGCCCTGCCTTTTTCAGGTCCTTCTGCACAAAGTGGGGCATGTCAGAGGGAGTGACGATGATTGATATCTGCAGAGAACAACAGAAGAGGGGCTAGGTAAGCACTAAGATCTCTGAACCCCAAGATCAAGTAAGGCTTTGACCCTGGGGTGCTGCCCTCTTGCCCAACCTATCCCTGGTTATGCCTTGGATACACACTCTTTCATTATCCTGGTCCCAAATGTTGCCACTGATACTCCTCAGTGCAAAGGCGATGCTGGCACTCTCCACGAAGAAGTGGGCCTGCATTTTCTCATAGTGAAACTAAGGGGACAGTGGCAAGAAAAATAAAATGTGAGGCCAGAGTTCCTGCTCATCTAGCTCTTCACCTGTCCCATTTGCTTTCGTCTGCCTTATTGTACTCTCTTACCTCAAACGGAGTGAAAGGGACACTGCATTGGCTCTGAATCAAATCCAGCAGCCACTTCTCATCATATTTTATGCCAAATGGAATCTAGGAGCAAAAGAAAGGTTGGATGAAGAGACTGACATAATGGAATTAAAACTTAAAATTATACCCAAACATGTTCCTTTTAGACTTTAAAATAATTTTTAAAGATAAGACAAGATCTATCATTTCTAACCTTTAAAAAATTATTTCATTGCTATCAATCCATTATTTGTAACATACACTATTTCTAATCACACATGCATTTTTTTTTCTGAGACACACTCTCACTTTCTTGCTCCCAATAGAGTGCTATGGCATCATAGCTCACAGCAACCTCAAACACTTGGACTCAAGATATCCTCTTGCCTCAGCCTCCCAAGTAGCTGGGACTACAGGCACCCGCCATCAATGCCGGCTATTTTTTAGAGATTGGGTCTCCCTCTTGCTCAGAATGATCTTAAAATCAAGTGATCAACCAACCTTAGCCTCCCAGAGTGCTGAGATTACAGGCATGAGCCACCTCACCCAACCTACACATGGATTTCTTAAATACCCTTTCTTTCTATTCAGATAATGTTCTTCATATAATCAACAAAAGATGTTTAATATGAGCTTCTTTGTATAAAATCCCAAGACATTCTACCTAAGGCAGATCCAGGCTGTCACTGTAACAAGGACCCTAGACCCTAAAGCAATGATTTTCACTGATATGCTACAAGAGAATCTTAGGTTTGGGTAAAAAATTTTCAAGATCATTAATTAAGTTATTTTCAAAAGAAGTTCAAAGCACAGTACATATATTCCTTTTTTTTTTAAGAGACAGAGTCACTTTGTCACCCTCAGTAGAGTGCTATAGCATCACAGCTCACAGCAACCTCCAGCTCTTGGGCTTAGCCAATCTCTTGCCTCAGCCTCCCCAGTTGCTGGGACTACAGGTACCCACCACAACGCCCAGCTATTTTTTGTTGCAGTTTGGCCAGGGCTGGGTTCGAACCCACCACCCTCAGTATATGGGGTTGGGGCCCTACTCACTGAGCCACAGGCACCGCCCATATTCCTTTTTTTTTTTTTTTTGAGACAGAGTCACACTTTGTCACCCTCGAGTGCCATGGCCTCAAAACTAACAGCAATATCAAGCAACTGGGCTTAAGTGATTCTCTTGCCTCAGCCTCCCAAGTAGCTGGGACTACAGGTACCCACTGCAATGCCCAGCTATTTTTTTTAGAGACAGAGTCTCTCTCTCTCTCTCTGGCTCAGGCTGGTCTCAAACTCGTGAGCTCAGGCAATACGCACGCCTCAGCCTCCCAGAGTGCTAGGATTACAGGCATAAGCCACCATACCCGGCTATATTCCTTTTTTTCCCACTCTTTTTTTTTTTTTCATCAACTAATTTAAGTGTGCCACAGAAGTTTAAATATAGGGACATGTGTGCTGTGAAATAAAAAATGTTTAAAAATACTTCCCTAGAGAATCAATACCCTATACACTCAGTTTGAGCCAAAACTGAGGCAGCTGGTGTGGAGTTGCTCTATCTCCTCAGCATTAGCTTCTTCCTTTGCTTGTAGACAACTTCTTCCATTCTTTCATCAGTCAGCCTGTTTCCTTTATATTGCTTCTCTAAATTTGCCCTTAGATAATCTAAGATATTGTTAACTCCTAGCAAAAAGGACAGATTACCAATTCCCCTGCCCTAAGAAAAATACCTAGTATCTCTGCACAAATCCAACATGATTCCCCCTGTTCTCCTTCACATTTTAGATTAATTTTGTCAGGAAACTCACTGTGATCTTGAACCAGTTCCCAGATGTACCATCCTGCCTGCACCACTCCATTTTTCCCTCTGGAAATTTTTTCTCTCTTTCTGTGATAACCTGGGTTTGGTCTTGTTTATGAATAGTACCTCTCCGATGATATGGTGGAATGGCATAAGGATTGCTGTAGGGAAATGGAGAAAAGGAAGTAGGCTGTATAAGCTCAGTCTTCTATTCACATTTTCCCCACTGATACTAGAGCTATAACAAAGTTTACTCAACAGTTTATCTGGTCCTATCATTCCTCCCTCTGCCAGATTGGAGAGAAGAATGACATGTTTAATTATAAGATTATGTATTTCACTGGATGCTACATTCCAGCCATGTTGACCAATACTTACAATCTTACTGGAGAGTCCACTTGCATATCACTCGTTGCTGCATTTCCTTCTTGCTGCAGATGAAATGAAGGATTCATGCCAAATGTGACTGGCTCAGACCAATTGGTAAATCTCCTTCGGTAAAGACCCCAACATCTTGCTCTTCTTTGAACAGGGTTGCCTTGGTGATTGTGCCCTTAAATTAAGAACAATACATCAATGTTTGGAATACCAGAAAAATTACTTAGATTAAATGTAACAGCTAATGAAGAAATATCACAGACTTTTATAATCTCAAAAGAAATATATCACAGAGCCAAAAAGACTGAAAGACTTCACTGTGGTTTCATTTCTTGGAAGATGAGAGGCAGCAAGCACTCACAGCCAAGGAGAAAACAAGCACAGTGGGAAGTGCTTGGGTTGAGGATCTAATCTGATATTAGTTACGTGCCCTGCCCTTTTCATGCTGGGTGTTCTAGGACAAACTGCTTATCATCTTTAACCCTCACCTCCCTTCTCTGCTTGGAGGTTGATAAAATCTACCCTGAAACCTTACCGTTATGGTTCAAGTGCCACAGGCAAGTTCCATACCTCAGGGATGAATCGAACAAATGAAAACATGGCTGGCTCAGTGCACATAGCACAGTGGTTATGGCGCCAGCCACATACACTGAGGCTGGCGGGTTCAAACCCAGCTGGGGCCAATTGCAACAAAAAAATAGCTGGGTGTTGTGGCAGGCACCTGTAGTCATAGGAACTGGGAGACTGAGGTAAGAGAATCACTTAAGCCCAGGAGTTTGAGGTTGCTGTGAGCTGTGATGCCATAGCACTCTACCAAAGGCAACATACTGAGACTCTGTCTCAAAAAAAAAAAAAAAAAAAAAAAGCTGGGCACAGTAGCTCACACCTGGAATCCTAGCACTCTGGGAGGCCAAGGCAGTTGGATTGCTTGAGCTCACGAGTTTGAGACCAGTCTGAGCAAAAGACCCCTTCTCTACTAAAAGTAGAAAATCTGAGGCAAGAGGATCGCTTAAGCCCAAGAGTTGGAAATTACTATGAGCTATGATGCCACGGCATTCTACCCAAGGGCAACAGCTTGAGACTCTGTCACAAAAAAAAAAAAAAAAATGATAACCAGAATTTTATCTTGAGAGACTTAATTATGGGGAATATTAAAAGAGTGGGGGAGAGAATCAAAGAAGATATGCATACGTAAGGCATGTTTGAATCCCAGGATTAAGGAATAGGGAACAGTGGAGAAGCAGCATTTGAGAAGATCTTGGTTGAGAAGTTTGCAAAAGTTAACAAAACATTAACTCAGTATAATAGTACTAAAAGGAGAAAATGCATACTGTAAGGGAAAATTTTCCTAAATAAAAGACATACATTTCATAATGATGTTAATGTAACAAAACTGGGGGAAAATGTGACCAGTAATCTCAAACCAAAGAAAATATTGACGGTTCTTCTTCAGGCAAAAAAAAAGGATAATCCTAGATGGAAATATGTGGATGCAGTAAAGACCAATGACATTTGTGAATGTGTAGGCAAATCTAAGTGAGAATCAACTACATAACACAATGATAATTTCTTTTTTGGAGTTTTAATATAAAGGGAATTAAAATGCATGACAATAAATCAGGAGCCAGTAAATAGAGTCATAGTATCTAAGGTTCCAACATTGTTTGGGAAAGAACTAATTTACAATAGACTATGACAGGGCAAAGACCTATGCTATAATCTCCAGGGCAAACCCTAGAAAAATGGCAGAAGACTGTTTAATTGTATAGCCAAATGAAGTAAAATATTTAATAAATTAAAATATGAATCATTTATGTTTACCTGGATGGAGTTGGAACATATTCTTAGTAAAATATTTCAAGAATGGGGAAAAAAAGTATCCAAGTACGCAATACTATTATGAAACCAATATATAAAAACTTACACATTCATATGAAGGGTAAAACACAAAGAGAGTCCAGAAAGAAAGAGGAAAGAGAAAGGAGAGGGAAGGGGAGGAGGGAAGGGAAGGAGGGAGGGTGAGCCGAGGCAGGGTATTTAGTGGGATGTCACCTAATGTGCACAATGCAAGGGTACATTTCAAAACAACTAAGAGTATATTATAAATGTCTTACCACAAAAAATAAGCGAGGTAATAGTTATATTAATTAGTTTGATTTACACATTCCACATTGTATATCAAATCATCACATTGTATTCCATAAATGCATAGTTATGATTTAATAACAATTAAGTTTAAAAAAGAATAATAAAAAATAAGAAAATGTGAAAAAAAATTATCATTTCAAAGGAGAGGAAAAGGAACCCGGAAGAAACAAAAATAAATATACAATAATATGATTTATTAAAACCAAATTAAATATGTACTTTCATTACAAGTAATCAGCCCAGTGTTTCAAACTGAAAGGCAGAGAGTATCAGACTAGATTTAAAAAAGGATTACACCAAATTCTTCTTATGAGAAACACATAAAATTTAATGATATAGAAAATTTGAAAATAAAAAAAGGCAAGATATATACCATCTACACACTAACCAACTGAAAGCTTGTATAACCATTATTAGTAAGAAAAAAAAGATGCTTTAAGAAAAAATACTATAGAAAAGAAAATTTCAAAATGATTAAAGGTTCATGCCATTCTTTTTTTTTTTTTTTCCAGTTTTTGGCCAGGGCTGGGTTTGAACCCACCACCTGAGGCATATGGGGCCGGTGCCCTACTCCTTTGAGCCATAGGTGCCGCGCCTGATTAAAGGTTCAATTCAACAGAAAAAAAATTTTTTTTGAGACAGAGGCTCAAGCTGTCGCGCTCAGTAGAGAACCGTGACGTCACAGCTCACAGCACCCTCAAACTCTTGGGCTTAAGCAATTCTCCCGATTTAGCCTCCCAAGTACCTGGGATTACAGGCACCTGCCACAACACCCGGATATTTTTTTTTGTAGAAAGAGAGTCTCACTTTACTACCCTGGTAGCGCGCCGTGGCATCACACAGCTCACGGCAACCTCCAACTCCTGGGTTTAGGTGATTCTCTTGCCTCAGCCCCCGGAGTAGCTGGGACCACAGGCGTCCGCCAGAACGCCTGGCTAGTTTTCTGTTGCAGTTTGGCCAGGGCTGGGTTTGAACCCACCACCTTCAGTATATGGGGCCGGCGCCCTACGGATTGAGCCACAGGCACTGCCCAACACCCGGCTATTTTTATTTTTTATTGCAGTTGTCACTGTCGTTTATCTGGCCCGGGCTGGGTTCGAACTCGCCAGCCTGGGTGTAATGTGGCTGGCGCCGTAACCACCGTGCTACAGGCACCAGGCCAGCAGAAAAATATTAAGAAAACAATTCTATACAAGGGTTGGGGGAGGGGAATGAGGGAGAGGAGAGGAAGGAGGAGGATGAGGGTCACAGTATGTGGCACACATCTTAGGGTCGGGACACAATTGTAAGAGGGGCTTCATCTAACAAATGCAGTCAGTGGATCCTAATTCTTTGTACCCTCAATAAATTCCAAACAATAAAAAAAAGAAAACAATTCTAAATTTGCATGCATGTCCTTTTTTTTTTTTTTTCAGATAGAGTCTCACTATGTCACCCTTGATAAAGTGCAGTAGCGTCACAGCTCACAGCAGCCTCAAACTCCGTGGATTAAGTGATGCTCTTGCATCAGCCTTCCAGTAGCTGGAACTACAGGCGCCCACCACAATGCCTGGCTGGGTTTTGTTGTTGTTGTTATTATTATTGTTGTTGTTGTTTATCAGGCCCTGGCCAGTTCCAACCCACCAGCCCCAGGGCACGTGCCCAGGGCCCTAACCACCGAACTATGGGCACTGAGCCTGCATGTATGTCTTATCATAGAGCCAAAACCTACAAAGCAAATACTGATCAAAGTAAATGGAGAAATAAACAAATCCACAGTCACTATAAGAAATCCACAGTCACTATGAGAAATTTTAATACACTTCACTGAGTAACAGATAAAACTAGCAGACAAAAATTCAGCTACATAGAAAAGATTTAAACATTAGTAACAAATTTGTTTAAATGACATAGAACACCACATATAAAAACTACACATGGAACATTGCAGAATAGGTCCTGTGCTGTGCCATAAACGAGCCTCGGGAAACCTCTAGAAAGGTAATACAATCTACCCGAAATGGCTAGTGTAAAGATTCAAAGTTATGGATGGGTTCCCTCTCCCTCCCCCACCTCTAGTAAAACTCCAAAGAATGTTAATTTTCACTAACCCTTACCTACTCTAGGTGACCCTCCCCATATCTCAAACCCTGGTACATGACTGAGGCCTCGGTCCTCGCCACTGCCCACCCCTATCTAAAGGGAGGTCAGCTAGGCGTCCTTTTGTTTGGATAAGGTTAGGGGAGGGGGCCGAGAATACTTCCCGTTCTGGTGGGACCTGAACTACCAGCCTCATGCTGACCAACTCACCCATGGTGTATCCCGAAGTCAGTGACTTGTCACCAATGTCCTCATAAACCTGTCGTGCGGTGAATCTGTGTATTCTGGAGCTGGAATTTGAAGATTGAGAGGGATCCTGAGGAAGTGCCTTAGACGGCTCCAGGCTTACCGTGTCAGGGCCACACAAACAAGATGGAGTCCTTACAGGAAGTTCCAACCCCAGAGGGATAGAGAAGAGATGCCTGCGGGCCAGAGTAGACTTAACTTCCTGTTATTACCGCCCCCTAAGTTTGCTACCAGACTAACATCCAGGGAGCAGCTTCCACGGGAGCCACCCCTGCAGAAATGAATAGCTGCAATCAGGAGGCTTGGGACCCAGGTACTTGTTACAAACACAGAGAACTCTGCTTGCCAGGCTCTGTTGGCTACGTTACATTGTATTCATTTATTTTGCAAAATCAAAGAACTCTGAGTGCCTGATGTAGGCCAGTCTCTGTACTTGGTACGTTTATTTTTTTTCCACGTATTCCTCACAAGGGGGCTCTGATTACAGAGTCAACAGCCCCCTGAGGTTTCTAAGGCTTAATGAGGTACAGGAGTTTGTCTGGAGTCATTCAGATGTTACCTGGAGAAACAGATCAGATATGAAAACCATGGAAAGGTGGGTAACCCCTCCATGCACAGCATTGCTAAATTTGTATAATATTTAGAGTTTTCTTAAATTAGGACAAAGTAACAGGATGTTCTGAAAATATTCATGTAGCTGGAACTAACTACAGACCATCTCAGAGAAAGAATACAAAAAGCAGACTAGGATAATATAAAGGAAATAGTAAACAAAGTTTAGTAGTCACTGTAATGATAGTAGAAAAAAAATCAAGTCTTCTATTTAAAAAAAAAATAGTGGGACTCCCATGTTCAGTGGTTAGAGCACCAGTCCTGTGTACCAAGGGGGTGGGTTCCAAACCCCGCCCAGATCTGCTAAACAAACAAATGAGCAAATAGTGAATATAAATGGCGCCTCTAGTGGTTGGAGCCAAAAATGACCTATATTTCTGTCTAACAAGGGTACAAGTGAACTTTCCTAGAACTAGAATATAAATGTTTTGACACAATGACTATGCAAATGACATGAAATTTATGTGAACCAGCTTGATGAAAGTATTTCAAAATGTATATGAAAACACTACACTGTACCCCATGTTTGCATTAATGTATACAGCTATCATTTAATAAAAAAAAAAAATGTATCTTTGAACATTTGAGGCCAGAGAGAGGAAAGAAAAGAAGGGCAGGCCTGGGCTCCAGTGCACTGGCCAGAACTTTCTGGAATTTTTCATCCAGGCCTGCTAAACAAACAAACAAAAAAGTAGTGAATGTAGATGGTGAGTGGTTGGAGCCAAAAATGTACCTGGGATGGCACCTGTGGCTCAAAGGAGTAGGACGCTGGCCCCATATGCTGGAGGTGGTGGGTTCAAACCCAGCCCCGGCCAAAAAAAGAAAAAAATGTATCTTTGAACGTCTCAGGCCAAAGACAGGAAAGAAAAGAAGGAAGGGCCTGGGCTCCAGTGAATCAGCCAAAACTTTTTGGAATTTTTCACCTCTTGTCCAAAGTCCCTTCCCAGGTCTCTATCCCCTGAGAGGGGAAGTCCAGCTCCTGAGTAAGCTGAAGATGCATCCATATATATGTACATGAACATTTGGGGTAAAAGAAGTGTAAGACACAAAAGCACATGCTTGCACATATAAACTAAGTCAGGAGTTGAAATTTTTATTTCGTATAAAACAATATTATGTGAACATTTTTATAAGATGGTAAATGCTAAGGTTTGAATGTTCATTCCTCCAAAATGTATTTTGAAGCTTAATCTCTAATGCAACAGAATTAAGAGGTGGGCCCTTCAAAAAGAGATCGGGGAGGGGAGAACTCATCCTAATAGATAGGATTAGTGACCTTATAAAAGGGCTTGAGGGTGCAATTTTGTCCCTTTCTGCCCTTTCTGACATGTGTAAATGCAGGAATGATACCACCAATGAAGCAAAGAGCAAGCTTCCAACAGAACCTAAATCTGGGGATACCTTGATTGTATACTTTCCAGCCTCCAATACTTTGAGAAATAAATTTATACTATTCTAATGTATTATAGCAGCACAAACTAAGATAATAAATATATGTGAATTTGTTTGTCAATTGGTTATTAGATATGGT